TATTAAAGACAGGAACGAGTAGCACATGCCGACTTGAAATGAATCGCGGTAGAAGATGTGATGGAGATAGTTGACACAAACAAAGCAGCTGACAAGGAGAGCGCGCACGGCGTTAAATGCTGCAAAGGCAAAGTGGCTCCCTTGGCACCAGTCGCCACGCAAGGACATAATGGAATCCGCGCGGTACACCTACAGAAATGAATGGACAAAAGCATATGGCAGTAGTATCGGATGGTCAGCCAAGCAATAATGCGGCGGTCTGTGACATACCTTCATAATTCCAGCCTTCCCCCCGCGACGTATTGCCTTATGGCTGTAATCTTTAACAATACTCTATCAATATTGATTGCCTATTGGAGTCGCAGGTGACTGCAGATACGCTGTGTTGGAAGAGCACTACGGGTTGAGGTCCATAGCTCTGCGCTGCTGAGGATGAACTGGCCGGAGAGGGAGGACAGTGTAGCATTACAGTCCCGCGCGGAAGCCTCGTGCCCTCAGGGCCGCTCAGCTAATGGAACATGGGTCAAAATTACGCTGCATTCAGTACAGCCCTGTCTTTGCAGGTTTGGCAATAAGGAAGCGAGGATAAGGCAGCCAAGCGGAGGGGAGGAGAGGAGGAGGAGGCAGGGACGGGGAGGGAACGCTGTGTGAAACAGAGACGGATCGGACCGCCTATGGATGGAGGTGATTGGACAGCGCCGAGCGAGACTGGGAATACATGAACGCGCCGTGACTCCTCACCCAAATACTTCAATCAAGAAGATGTATTTGAATTGATAATGAATAGAACTGCGTGCTTCTCATTAAGCATGCGAACGTTCTGATCAAAGACACAAGGCGAGTCTGGAATATAAAATATATTTATTTTGGTGACACTCTGAAAACCTCTGAATTCTCGTCTACTGTCAACAAGTGCAAAGGAAATTCACGGACGAAGTAAGTGTTAAAATAATAACACTAATTGTGCATTTTCATTCTTGGTCACAGGGTCATTCTTAAAACAAGAAAACTTTTACTCGAGTTTATTTTATTTTTTTTAACCTTTGGCCAGTTAAAGGCAAAAAGGTGTGTGCACTGCAATTTTATTTGTCATTTCTGTTTTTATTTTTATTTGTTTGTTTGTTTATTCATTTAATTCTTGTTTAAAACGTAGCAACGTAAATGCATGCTATTAACATGAACTAAATATCATAACACACAAAAAAACTCATTTTTAAAATAAGAATCTGTGGTTCCCACAGGGAATTCTGGGAATGCCCTAAAAGTTAAATATTACATTGATAAATAGCCTACACTATCCATAAAAATCATTAAAACTTTTTAATTAAAAAAAATATTTGTACAATGTAGGCTACTATTCAGTTTATCAATTATTTGGCATATTTACTTCATTTTTACAGTTAAGAATATGTTGTGATTAAAAAGAAATTGTAGTGCAAAAAGCCTTTTACTGCCGGAAAATGCCGTTTGAAGCCCGTTTCCCAATGTGTAACTGCATTTATAAAAGTGCTGTATTTGTAACAAACTGTAGCTATTCTTTTTTTCTCTCTCATTACGTCGATGAGTCTGTAGGTGGGTGACACTCTTGGTGGTCTGCGTGCTGCAGCAGCGTCTCGATGGTCTAATGGGTCCGTTTCAGCTGACATCAGCGGAATAGGTTCACTGTTCACGGTTGGCTATGACATCGGCGCAAACTCTTACTAAAGACAATTGCAAGGTGCATGACGTTACATATGTGTGACGCGGTGTTGTAAACCCCTACATAAACACTACTGTAATCTCAAAAATTCGCCCGCTATTATTAGCCTACACCACTGTTTTGGATGAAAAAAAGGAAGAAGTGTCGTAAGCGTCATTAACTAATGCGCACACTTTATCCATGTGCTCTCTCCGGTTACCAAGGAAACTGTGTGGGTATCTTGGATACAGTGCCAGTAGCGCATGCAACCCGCAAGCACCACCCACCCCAAGCAAGACATCATCTTTGGCTAGATCATTTTCCAATACGTGCAACTGCCTCATAAAATACATTATAAGATATTAACGAGAGTTACCAGACAATTGCATCGAGCTGCTTGCGAAGAAACAACCGAGTATTTCTTCAATAATGCATACAGTCCTTTGGTATCATAAATAACAAGGGGCAATTAACAAGACATTCTCTTCATTACAGAAGGGATGATGGAATGCCTGTTGCAGTGTCACAGTTGTGTGGAAGTGTGTATGTGTTTGGCTGGGGGTTAAAGTCAATGAAGCACCTAAGAAAGTGCTGACTATGACTCAGTTTTAGTACAGAAGCCCTGCTTACTGCAATCCCAGTGCACCCCGGAGTATAGACTGTATATGTGAACAAACAAAAACACACATACACACACTCAGAAACACATTACTCAGATTTAAACACACAATTAAGACCATAGTTTATTATTCACATATACTTTCTGTTAGCACTTGTATTAGGTTCTAGATATACAACCCAGTTATGCTTAGTGTCAAACTGAACCTTATTGGATTCAATAACATTTACCAAAAAAATATATATAAATCTTTAATGCTTCTCACACAATACAAAGTAATCATGAGAACATATGATTTAACAATATTTTTTTTTATAAACTGTGAATATTATAAACAGTTTTGTAAGTATTTTTATTTATCCCAGAATAAAAGTACCATTTTAAAAAGCATTTTTTGCATTTTTCTGAAGATCAAACAGTGTTTGCAGTGCCAAGATCATAGGCTCAAATTACCAGTGGACTGAGTTTGAGCTGATAAAGATGTACACCTTCAATGCAGTTTCTCTGGATACAACAAGTGTCTGCCAAAAGCATAAATGTAAATGTATAAATACTCTTAGAGTTGTAATTAAGAAACAAAATATGACATAACAAAATGTACATTAAAAAAAGTTTTAATATCAGGTCAGTGCAGCTGCATTTAGCAATGAAATATGCAGGTCAAATTGACCTGCAAACATCATAATTTTGTATGCACATTCCACAGCATAGCAAAGGCATGTTCATGACCCTAAATGAAAAAAGGTCAAATTTCAAGAAAAATACCATAGGTTAACCGGTATTTAAAAAAAAATATCTCCGCTAAGCTCTAATCTAACAGAGCACACCATGGCACTCACTCAAGAGAGAAAGAGAAACCGAGGGAGAAATAAAAAAGAGAAAGCAAGAGAGAGGGAGGCTGAGTGAAGACAGGGAGATAAATCAAAGTAATTCATCTCTTTAGAACACGATAGCAGATTAAAGGCGAGAGCATGTGAAGGAGGGTTTCAAATGAGAGAGATGAGGAAAATAAAGACTTATCAACACTTATCATGTGTTATATGATATCAATTGAGAATAAAAACCAGGAAAGATCTAAACATTATTAAAACAAGGTGATTTAAAGGAATGTTTTGTGAAAGCTGGAACCATATTAGTTAAGAAAGCTAAATACATGTGAGGTAATGATGAGAGTCTTGGAGTTTAAACAGTTTAAGACAATTATTTATTTATGTAAAATGGCATTTGTCATATTATCAGATTATGAGGTCATCTTTCAAATGCCACATGCACTTTGTTTCATTAACATATTTTATGATGTCATCCTGCTGAGAGCTGAGAGTGTAACCACTAGAGGGCAATAACTGTCCATTTTTATGTGTCCATTTTAACAAGCATTTGTTTAATTAATTCACTACAGCAATGTATAGCAGTCTATAGTATTTATACCTCTGTTCATTTCTGTAAAGTAAGTATATATTTAGTAGGATCATTCCAAAAATTATGAATAAATAAATAAATAAACAAAGCACTTTCTCACCCCTAATCAGACTCAGAGAGCGCCCTCTGTTTGTTTTGCCTTCACTATTCAGATGTATTTTGTTAGTGTTTTTGAAAGAGTGACCTTGACTAGACATAAGACTTGAGGAATAAGATCATTTGCACTTGGACGTCAATAGTAGTGAAGCAAAAAGGACATCATGGTGTGTTCAAAAGGGGGCATTGCCCTTGAGCAGTGCACTTAACCCGCTGTTTCTTCAGGGAGACTGTCTCTGCAATTAGTGTACTGTACATCCCTCTGGGTGACAAGTGTCTGCTGAATGGTGAATAACTGATAGCACTGTCTGAGAGACCATTATAATTTTAAACTGCATTATGGTTGTTTGTATGTTACATGAATACGATGCACCATTAAACAGGAGACTTAGATGACACAACTGTGTTTCTATAGGGAGTGATGCAAAATTATTCATTATGTCTGATGGTAAGAGTTACCCCAGCATTTTGAGTTAATTTTAAAATGCAAATATGTGTTTTGGCAAATAAGGTCCCTGGACTTGCATTGAATCAAACATGTTTGAAGCGGTACGTGTGTGCGGGTATTACAGAGACTTAGACTTTGAGTGAATGTCAGAAGGAATTCATTTGCAGACAAAAGCTTCAAGCTGACTTTAATGTACGACAAGTGCAGGTAACCTCTTTCACAGGCTTGATAAGCTGACCTCTGCTCCCACTTGTCTTTGAAAGACATACAGAAAGTTCTAGGTATTTTTACAGGTCCAGTTTAGGTTTAGTGAATGCATGCAGTTCCAGAATTCACATTTGTTTGAGTTTTAGTAATTTTCTTTTCTTTTTTTCGTATTTACGTTATCAGAAATGTGCATTGCAGTGTTTATTTTAATAGCTTAAAAAGGTTGGTACATAAACACATGCAATTTCATGACATATATTGCACAATTAAGAACAGTATTTTTTCCAATGTGGAAACAGCTAATTTCTCCCCAAATACACTTTCCTTTTATGATTAAGGTTATGGTTCTCTGTGAACATTAAAAAAAAAAAATAGAATTAGTACAACTGAATATTGATCTGCTATGCTCACACATCCGACATGCAACCGCACGCATAGACACAGCGCGAGTGCGCTCACGCGCTCATCTGTGTATGTGTGTGTAGACTGATCCGTTGCGTTAGAAAATGAGCAAAGACTCGCCGACATTTCCGTCGACGCTCCATAAAATCGCTTGCCCAATATTCTTCCCTCTAATAAGTTTCTAGGCTGTCTGTCCCTTTAAACGAGTCATTTTTTCTTTAATCCTGAATTGATTGCTTAAATGCGGAGACAGATAGAGAACAGAGGGTGCGCTTTATTTATCAGCGTCTAAATATTTTTTTTTTGTCGCCCTCAAAGTTCATTTTTAGATGACGGGAAATAAATGAACGCTTCTGATTTTTTAAACCAACTGAATACAACTCATTTGATTCAGAATGAAACGCCTTTAGGAGGTGACTGACAGCATCTAGGTCCAGGACTGCACAACTGGAAAACTTCATAGAAAAAGCTCATTTTGGAAATATGCCTCAAAAATGTGATTGAAGAAAGTCGTGAGGATCATGCATTCTGCTCCAATGAGGTCAAAGTGACAATCCGACATGTATGAGGAGAACCGAAAAAGTAAGTTTTATTTGATCATTTAATGCATATATTTTGGTTTAGTTTTTATATTTTCACATACGTTGTGTAGCCTAGCCGCCGTTTAAGATGTCAAATATCAACTTATTTTACAAGTCGCTGCGTAAACTTGTGTCCGTGTCTATATGAAACAGTAATTTTATTTCAGTTTAAATTGTGTTGTTGAACTACTCTTCAACATTAAAGACTTTGGTGTATGAAGATTGTGTTTTTAATCACACAAAAAGCAAACACCTGACATGACGCAAAAACAATGTACTAAACGTTAACTAAATAACAGAAAATAATATAAAACACCCAATGTGTGAATACCTCTTCTTAATTTTAAACAGTATGTTAACTTTTGGATAGGTTACTTAAAAACTGAATTTTAATAGCAATTTGCTGTAAAATTGTATTATTTCACAATACATTTACACGCACACACACACACACACACACACACACACATACATATATATATATATGTATATAGAAAGGCAACTTATAGTTTACCTGACCTATTAACAGGATTTTACTGAAACGTTTTTTTGTTAAAATAAACCTCATCTGTCAAAATAATTGACAGTTGTACTAATTACAGGAACACAAAATGTTATACATGTTAATTATAATGAAATTATAACAAAAGATGAAAGTTTTGAGCCTTGAGCTCTGTTGAGATCAAATTATGAATTCATTTTTCCAATTTATTTTTCTTGTTCGCAGCACCAGATGTTTCACCGCCACAGGGTCATTTTCAGAGCACAACCTGCACATGCGCTTTATGATGACTTTCTGATTGCGGGCAACCTGCAATTACAGATATCATTTGACTTCCATCATAGCCAAGTAACCCCAGCACTGCAGGTTAATGCACATAGTAGAGTGTAATGCAGGGCCTCTGGAGATGGCAAATTAATATTCTGCTAGTAGTAAGTTTGATTAAATGGGCCTCTAATCTTTGATCCCTAACTAGCTCAAGAACCAAATCCTTCTGCTTTAGAAACAAGTCTGCACATGAGAGTTGCTGTATGTGTCTCTTTGCACATGTTTCTACACCATTTAGGTCACTCCATTAAGATAAATAAAATATAGATAATATGCAAAAGCATTAACCTATGTAGCAATATGCAGAGCACTTAAATTGGTGTTGTTGCCTTCAACTGAAAAATAATGCTGTCGTTGCAATGTAATAATATTTTTAATTATTTATTTATTTATACATTTTTTGGTTAAATCCATACAAACTATCTTGCCAAAGAAAATAAGCTTCATGCTTGTTTAATCTTCAATGGGAATCATGAAATTGTCTCAGTATCCACAGCCACACAACTAGGCCTATAGGAGTTGCAGCTCACTGTCGTGGTATTAAATTACGGATGAAAATTAAATGGCAGGTTCATGCTTTTGAGGTCAGTTTTGTTTATTCATTATGTTCAGAAATAGACATCGATAAAAACTTGTTTATGTAAATTTCATAACTTCGAATTTCAAACTCACTCCTATGTGTGAAATTATGGACAAATATAATACCATGATTGAAAACCCAACAAACCTGTCTTTAAAGTAGAAGAGAGCCTGTTGGCTTATGTTAGCCGTCATAGTAAGGGTTACACAGAGCTGCAGCCAAAACAAAAAATATTTTTTCATAACACCTTATTTTAATGATGTGCTAAATTGGCCCCTCAATTTTCATTTGGTGCGTGTCTTTATCAGCGCAGCGCAGCAGTCATGATAGCTCACTTTACAGACCTCACACAGGAGTTTATTTCTCTCTCCTGCCTGCCCATTTTAAATGTTCAATGAAAGTACTGATTGCTGTTATCTCTGGCTGATAGAATTCCCTTCAGTCTCACTGAGGTCTTATGCATATAATGAAGTTATAATTCGCTATCTGCACAGTGTCCTCGCAATCTCTCTCTCCTGCCCCTCCCCCTACCCATGACTCTCTCTGTTAGCTGTCAGCTAGCTGTGCTAGAGGCTAACATCATGAATCCACAGGTACTCACATATGAAACCGCTGGCCCAGAATCCAGCTCTGCACCCCCTCTCACAGTGGGAAGTAGGTCACAGCTGTTACTGTGTGGTTCTCCTCACCTAGTGCAGAGGCCTCCCGTTCATCAGAGACTGTGGCAGATTAGAAAGCATTGTCTTCTTTATGTTGCTCACCCTCTTTAATATGACCAGAGTCATTCGAGTTTCATAGTTTTTAGTTACTTCACTCTCTATCGCTCACTCCTTTCCTGTGTCCAGATTATGAGGAACTCTTGTTGTAGCAACTATTCAGATAGACATTGCCATGGAAAATATAGTAAAATTGAGTGACTTACAGTACTCTTTCTAACCAATACTTGTTACTCTTTACATTGCATCCTAAACAGGTGTGATGTGATGAGACCCATAACTCAACAATAAGGATGACCCATTGGCCTGCGGCAGTTTAGGAGAGTTTCAGGCCAGGGCAGTTTAACTGTTAACTGAACTGTCACCTGCCCTGATGGGTCAGTCCTATATCTTAAGTTTGATAAAATTTTTTATGAATGAGTCGATGCAGATAGTCTTGTGGGCAGCGTGCTGACATACAGCACTGTTGTGACACAGATGTCCCGAGTTCGAGTACTGGCTCGTGGACCTTTCCTGATCCTACACCCTCCAACTCTCCCACTTCACCTCCTATCAGCTCTACACTGTTCTATCATAATAAAGGCAAAAATAACAATCTAAAAGAAAAAAATTACATGAATTAAAAATGTGTAAGAGTAAGATTTTTTTTATTTTTTGTAAAATGAACAATAAAAATTTAAATATTATACATTTAAGATGATACATTTCCAATTACTATATTGTTATTGGTTTAGGGCAAATAAGCAAGTAGAAATTTGAACTCCTGGCACGCAAGTGAGCGGGAAAAAAAATCCTTATTGTTAAGCTCTGGTGACAAATAACAAGTCATTTCTGTCGACACTCGAAGAAAAGTTCACACAATCCCAGCCAATCAGGATTGATGTAATGTGAAGCAGTATTTTGGACCAATGCGATTTTATTCAAACTAAGTGACTAAGCTTGCTAGGTTGGAAAAAAATGTTTTATTAACATACTGTAGGAGAGAAGCTTTTTTTGTTTGATGCTTTATCACATCTCAGGACAAGGCAGGCAACAGGAGATTTTTTGGGGGGGTTTCACTTTTATAGGAAACTCTACCGACAGTACTAAAATAGCACATGTTTGCTTAATGTATGTTCTTATTGGTGCTTTAAAGTGAACTTTAAAGTTCAAAGGTTTGGGGTTGATAAGAAGTTTTAGTGTTTTTGAAGTCTCTGATGCTCGAGGAGGCTACATATATTTGATCAAAAAGACAGTAAAAACAGTAATATAATGTTTCTAATTTAATGTATTTTAAAATGTAATTTATTCCTGTGATAGCGAAGCTGAATTTTCAGCAGCCGTTACTCCAGGGTTCACTGTCATACGATCCTTCTGAAATCATTCTAATATGCTGATTTCTTATCATTATCAATGTTGAAAACAGTTGTGCTGCTTAATATTTTTGTGAAAATCATGATTTTTGTGGAAAACCTAATACATTATTTTTTTAGGGTTCTTTGATTAGTAGAAAGTTCAAAAGTTCAGCATTTGATTGAAACAAATCTTTTGTAACATTGCAAACGTCTTTACTGTTACTTTTGATCAATTTAATGCATCCTTGTCACTCATTGCCAATTCATTAGTTAATTTTCGTTCAGAGACTGGTTGTTTGCTGTGTCATCCAGACATATGACCCTTCATTAAGTGACTAAACCTCTCTCTTTAGGGAATGGGTACTCCAATGAGGAAGAGGAGGGTGGTGGCGAAGCGGAAGAGGAGGAGGAGGAGGAGGAGGAGGGAGGTGGAGGAGTAGAGGGCAATGAGGAAGAAACAGACGAGTGGGAGGAGAATGAACGGCCGAAGATGAACCGTACGGAAACGCTCAACTCCACCACCAGCTCCACTGGAACGCAGAAGAAGAAGAGTCACCATGTGAAGAAGCAGGTCCAGGGCTCCAACCAAGTCCAACGCGCGCCCAGAGCTCTTTTCTGCCTTAAATTAAACAACCCCATCCGCAGGGCCGCCCTTCACCTTGTAGAGTGGAAGTATCCATTACAACTCAGTCAATGACAGAAAACATAGCTTAAACTACTACTTTTAAGCTTTCAAACAGTTTACCTCTATCTGTTGTAAAAACACGTTGTAACTTGCTAAATAATGCCTGTTGAATGTAATGGCACTCTAATAAGATCACATTTACCTTAACATGTGACTCCAGACCATTTGATATCTTTATTCTTCTGGCCATCTTCGCTAACTGTGTTGCTCTGGGGGTCTCCAAGCCTTTTCCCGAAGACGACTCGAACGCCACCAACCATGACCTTGTAAGTATTGCTCTCTCTCGACTGTGAAATTGGGGTGGTGTGAATTTCAGTTCAGCTTAGAACTGAAAAGGGATTGAAGAACATTCATGGACAACCAACTTCTAGGTTTTTGTGCAAACATTAATGGTGAGTTCCTTCAGTATAGTTCCTTTAGTGTATTTTATTGAACCTTGTGGGAACGCTCAGCTCCACCCCCAGCTCCACCATGAGATATGGTTTGAAAAATTGTATATTGTAAATAGGTAAAAGTGTGCAATAGCCACCAGAGAGAGCGAAAAGGTGTTTCCCTTCCCAGGTGTTGTTTCATAATCAGATATATTGGGATGGTGCCCGGAACAGAGCGCTGACCGAATTCCTGCTGACCCATTTGGGAGGTGTGTTATGGATCTCAGGTGCAGTCAGACTCAGAAGCATGTGTGTTTATGTATTATGTAATATACATTTCTTTTCTAATGGTTTGTCCTAGCTGGTCTTTTCTGGTCTCATTCTGCTGTGTCTTTTGGTAGCTCTCTGGGTGGTTGTTTCCTGTTTCAGATGTGTTGGATTTGAGCTCTGCTCTTTTTCTCAAAAAACTTTGAAGAAGTTTTTGTTCATTTCTTAGCTAGATCTATTCTGACTAGTTTTACAGTATGTCTAAACAGAAGAACAGGGGCTTTAATTTTGTGTAATATTGCAACCACATGTTCAGAATGGACACAATATTTGTAATTTTTCTGCCCTCAGAATGCTGGTGTGATTTGATTAAAACAATTTTTATTAAAACAGAAAAGATAACAGTGGAGTCATTTCAAAGAAAGACATTTGTTGATGCTTGGACAGGAAGACATGATAACTCAAGTTAAGAATGTATGGAACTTTACATTTTATGTAGAATGTAAGCTACTATTGTATGCTATTAGTAATAATGTATACTTTTGGGGGGTCAGTAGTTTAAAAAAAAAAGTTATTTGATTTATTTTGCTCCCCAATGCATGTATTTAATGAAAAATATGATAAAAACAGCTATATTGTGACAATTTAGTACTAAATTTGGTTAAGTTTAGTGTGCATTTTGTTATCCTTCTGAAAATACAAACAAATGCACAGAGAAACACACACACACACACACACACACACACACATAGGGGCATTGGCCTCAAGCAAGAGCGTTTTGTCATGTGACTCACTTTAGCCACACTATTTTGAGTCCTACTGCTGTCCCAGTGTCAGAAATTTCTAGAAGCTTTGTACTTTGAATATAACAGTTTGAAAATCAGTTGCCATTTTGAGGTAAAAACCCTTCTTTTTTGCTGTTTGATGATGTGGTATTACTCTGTAATCCCCCTCATCTAACAACCTCTCATTGTATCCCATCAGAGAGCGTCACATTTGATCCACTCAGCAGCCATTCTTAAAGGCACAGTTCCGTCATTGTTTACTCACCCTCATGCTTTTCCAAATCTGCATGACTTTATTTCTTCTGTGAAACACAAAAGAAGACATTTTGAACATTTGTCTCCACCGACTTTCATTGTATGGGCAAAAAAGAGAAATTTTTGACATGAGGATGAGTAAGTGGTGACATCATTTTCATTTTTTGTTTAACTCTCCCTTTAAATTTAAATTTTTGGTTTAAATCTCCCTGTGTTACTGTGATGTTGGCACCTGTATCTGAGACTGTAAGGCTTTAATTTGCTTGCACGTTAGTGGCATCGAGGAAGCAGAGTGCCTTTTTTCTCCACGGCTGCAGTGAGGCATGCAACAATGCGAGGCTGCATGAGCTTGTGCGTACTACAGCTTCATTTGGGCATACAAAGGTCACTGAGATGAGAGAGAAATCGTAAACGAAAGAGAAGCGCCCCTAGCTATTGTTTCTCAGTAGGGGTTGGACCAAATGAAACACCTTTCGTTTAAGTCCAGAAATCCTTTCTTCACATCTCGGCACACTAGCACTTTCACTGGACTTTGCCAAATCTTTGCTGATGTGAGCCTCAGAGTTTGTCCCGCTGTCATCTCGAGTGTACAGGCGCGTATGACTGCGCCCCATTCGTACTGAAATGCTCGACGTGTTGTGAAGTTCTGCAGTGGAGGGGATCTTCCCTAAGGCTTGTGTGAGAGAAACAGGAAGAGAAAGAGTGGAAATGAGAGAGAGGAGACCAATCGAGTTGCATGTGATCAGGACCATGAACACAAGCCCCCTCGGGCATTGCCTCATGCCTGTCCCATCAGAGCACCGCTTTCTTTTTATAGAAGAAGAATTTGCATTCAAATGTAAGAGAAGTGACACCGCAGTGACAAAAGAGCCACAACAGGGCATAATGTGCATCCCAGATGAAAGATCACAGTGTAGTGAGCTGTGAGCTAATGAACGAATTACAGTGTTTTCTTCCAGAGTCAGCTTTTTTTGTGGGGTTGTAATATTCACTTGCTGAATTGCATACAGACTAGATTTACATATCAAGAGAAAAACACCAATGTTTTCTAGGAAGCAAAATAATAGTGTTGATGTTTAAAGTAAGCATATATGCTTTGGTTTTAAGTAATTGCAGTGAACCTTTGTGTCAACCACTTTGAAACCATTTTCTTTGAAAAAAAAACTGAAATATTAGCAAAAGGGAACCTAATGGTGACTTACATTTTTATAATAAAACATCGATAAAGAAATAGAGCTAAAATATCTTTTAATTATAAAAATAAATACATAAATAAAAACATACTCATTACATTAGTCCCTCTGCTTTGACCAAACAAACATGACAAAATTATTCAAGTACAAGGGCTTATGGGTATTCCTGCAGTCACAGTGCTTTTCAGTAACACTGTGACTAATGCTAATACTCAGTAGCATATGCTGTGATATGAAGTTCATAGTATTTAGCCTTTCTTTTCATTGCAGTTGTTATATTTCATGTTTTCGTTTCATTGTTACATTTCAATATATACACACACAGGTCAAAGTTTGCTTTAAATACAACTTTTTCATGTTTTTGGAAGAAGTCTCTTATGCTTATCAAAGCTGCATTTATTTGATCAAAATTAAAGTAAAAATGGCGATATTATGAGAAATTATTACAATTTAAAATAACTAATTTATTCCTAATGAATTAAACTCGTTAAAATAACTAATTTATTCCTGTTATGGCATAGCTAAATTTTCAGCATCCATTACTCCAGTCTTAGTGACACACGATCCTTCAAAAATTATTCTTAATGGATAATGGTAATGAACAAATTACAAATTCTCTTCTGTTATACAGTATAAGTATGTTCACTGTTGGACATATTTACTCATCTTAATTTTATTCCAAACCTGTTTGACCTTCTTCTGTGGAACATGAAAGAAGATACTTTGAAGAATGACATTGAGACCCTCTGACAAGACATTTCTCAAAATATCACCTTTTATGTTCCACAGTAGAAAGAAAGTCATATAATTTTTAAATGACTCATGAGGGTGAGTAAATGATGACATCATTATTTTAATATTTGGGTGAACTGTCCCTTCAGTTAAAGTCCACAAAGTTCCAATAATACCCACAGAGGAAACAAGTTTGCATTGAAATCGGAAAACAGAATAATGCTTGATAAGAGTTAGTCTTCCTCTTTGTATATTTGTAGGATAACAGGACACCCAAATGATGTAAAAGAGAAAGAGCAGAGAGAGTGGTGGTCAGGGGAGATTGTACAAACTGCCTGTTCGTTTGGCTGCTCTAAATTCTCTTGGTCCCGATAAGCAGCTTACTCTTCCTCCCCTGTCTCTCATCACCCTTCCCCCATCACCCCGTCCCTCTCTCTCTCGCTCTCCATCTTTGTTCTGATGCTTAAAGCCACATCCTGGATTCCAGGTGCAAAGGAGGGGGCATGTATTTAATGAGTGTGTGTTTGCTGTCAGTCTCTTCTCTCACAGAGCTGGTTGGTCTTTCCCTCTGCCATATTGTTTGTTATATTTTACTGTCCATCATATTGTTGTCTTCGGTTCATTACTCAAAGGCATTCAGCACTCTAAGCTTGTATGTCTAATTACCAGGGCTGTCAATCGACTGCAAGTTTTAATTGAAATAATTAGATGATTTGCAGACTAATTAATTGCGATTAATTGCACATATCAATATGTGCTGAGAAAAGTTTCCAAAATAAGATAATTCAAAGACATTTCACTGTTGTGTAAAACAAAACAAAAAACACTGAATAGTGACTTTTAGAAGTCAAAACATTGCCTATAGTTTAATTTTCCTAGCCTGCAGATTATATATATATTTAAACATATTATTTATTATTATTATTTATGCAAATTAACTGCATTTATTTGTCTGCCAAAGAATGATTTTGAATGCTGTCATGGTCTGTCTGCTCATCTAAGAAAGGGAATATGCAGTTGAGAGCCTCAGAAATAGTTCATGGATGTTCTGTTCCTGTCGGTTTGCTTAAAGCTTCTGCTTACTTTAGACAGAGACATATGGTCCAGCAAATGGAAGTTTATGCTGTATGCCACTTTACATTAAATCAAGGAAAGCAGTTTGTGCGAGTATGGTTATTATTGTCCATATGGTATTGTCCTCTGTCTTGTACAGATGGTGTGGGGTTTTTTTTGTGGTTAATTTGCTGTTTCTGTCTATATGTTTGTTTATGTGGAGGGAGTATGTGTGTGCACAAAAGTGTGCCGCCACAGTGGACAGGCTGCTGCCATACACCAGCAGTGGCAAACGAGAAGGAGGGAGAGAAAGGAGAGGATGATAGATTAGTAATCCTTTGAAACACTCACAGATTCCCCATTTTGAAACTCAGGACCGGCCCTCTTTTGTCTCTCTCACTCGTTGTGTTGTGAACAGGTCATGGGGTCACACCAGTGCACACACTTTCCTAAATATACAGCATAATTTTTTACTGTCAACAATTAATATGCTAAATATGCTATTTTTATTGCATCTGCTTTTGAATATTGATTTGATGGAATGATTTGTGTGCCTCAAGCTTTCTTGTCAGATTTGTGGCCATATTAATTGAACGACTACATGGAATATTTTAGTTAAAAACATTTTTTGTCATTTAATTCATTTAAAATAAAATAATGAGGGCAAAAATTATTAAAACCTTTTATATAATTGGATATAAGATTGTATCATTATGAAGTTAAGTCCAGCCTGTCTGGAATGACATGAAGAAACTGAGACAGACTAAATCCAGAAGAACTGTGGCAACGTCTGTAAGATGCTTCAAGAAACCTATCTGCAAAGCTACAGTACTTTTAAAAGTTTTAGGCACTTGTGTAAAAATGCTGTAAAATGAGGATGCTGTCAAAAATTATGCCATAAATAGTTTTTCTTTATCAATTAACTTCTATTAACTAAATTAAATCAACATTTGGTGTGAGCATTCTTTGTGTTTAAAGCAGCTTTTGCTCTATAGGTGCACCTGCGCATATTTTTTCAGGTAGCTTTGCAGGTAGGTCTCTCGAAGCATCTTGGAGACGTTGCCACAGTTCTTCTGGATTGAGTCTGTCTCAGTTTGTTCTGTTTCTTCATGTCATTCCAGACAGACTGGATGATGATCAGATCAGATCTTTGTGTGGAGCACTGGCTGTTGTCAAAATCTCACTGGATTATTACAATTAATGGCAAAATTAGTGTTTGGAAATGTAAACTGATATTTCCTACTGACACGCTACAGCAAAAGATAGAAATAACTGACTTAAAACCATTTTTTTAGATGGTGAAAATACTAGTGTTCTCAACCTTTCACAATCATTTTTAAAATTACAATCTGATGTGTATATGTGTGTGTTTGACCTTTTCTGTTCTCTTTGTGTCTCTCCAGGAACAAGTTGAATATGTGTTTTTGATCATCTTCACCATCGAGACGTTTCTGAAGATCCTTGCGTATGGCCTTGTCATGCACCCAAGCTCCTACATCCGCAACGGCTGGAATTTACTGGACTTTGTCATCGTCATTGTAGGGTACGGCACCATCTTCACTGCTCTATCCATCCCCATTTGTTTGTTTACTGTCTTTTTCATTTAAAAATAATAACCAGAGTGACATCACAGCCTTTCCTCTCATGATTCACTTGCATATTAATTTTCATAGATGATTTTTATTCAGGTTGTGTAATGGCCAGCAGCAGCTCTCTTATTCACAATACTACTCTTGTCCCGCTGTTCTCTTTACCTCCTTTTCCCCCTCATTTCTCCCTTTTCTCAACCTCTCCCTCTCAGATTATCTGGTCAGATCTGTCTGTCAATCCTCACTCTCCCGCTTTCTCGCTCTCTCATTGTGTCCTAATCTGACCTACAGAGAATAGGCACTACCCTTAATTTCACACACCAGGCTTTACATCCCTGTGGTAAATGTGTGTGTATGTGAAGTGTGTAAATACATGTTTCATCCACTTAAAAAAGAATCAGTCTTTCATAGTATGTCGCTATTTAAACTCATTTTTTTCCTGCGCACACCGTAGAGTGTATTTAAAGAGCGACAATCCCCAGAGCTCTGTCCATCCTGCTAAAATGGGCCTAAACAGCTGTTCTGAGGTCATTAATGGCCAGTTGGTCAGAGTGATGGTTAATTATCTAAAGGAAGATGACTGTGCCAGGCATTTATCGCCTTTTTGAGTATAATTTTGAGAGCTTTTTTTTGGTATTGATTGGAGATTTCATTAAGCTCACAGACAGAACCGCTAATGGGCAGGTGGATCTGTTCCAAACACACGGTATTACACTTCATAGTACTGCTGCTTATAATACTGATGCCATCCCAAGAGTATTTGTTCATGCGTGTGTATGCATGAAAGCACAAAGATAGCTGGGATAGGTGCCACAAATATTGTTGCCCAGCCAGCTTCCACAACACTTCAGTACGTTCATTTGGGAATAGAATTTTGCTAGTCACGCTGTATGTTTTCAAGCCACTTTAAAGAGCCAGTTCATAAGAGTCATTTGTTTGGGAATCGGGTGACACTGGTCAAGCTGTATGTTTTTGACTTCCTAAAAAGAACCGGCTCATAAGTGCCATTTGTTCAGGAATCAGACTAGTCAAGTCAAGTCACCTTTATTTATATAGCGCTTTTAACAATACAGATTGTGTCGAAGCAGCTTTACAGTGTTAAATAGGACAATAGTGTGTCAGTAATGCAAAAGGACAATAGTAAACACCCAATTTCATTTGGAAATTGGACTGGACTTTTTTATTTTTTTTTCACCTTTGTCATCTCATATTCATTAGTTTTAGTCAGTTTTATTAATACGAGTAACGTGGCATCTAATTTTGGTCTATTTTTAGTTTTAGTTTTTTATATAAGAAAGTGAAAAATTGAAATTAAAGTGAAATTAAACTGAATATTCAAACTAAATTTATAAATATGATTAAATATAAGATTTAACATATGAAAACTGTCTGCATTCAAATGTTTTTAATCTTTCATTTGACAAATATTTGAAGTTCATCATAATTTTACCTTTAATATTACATTATACATTTTATTATTTAATATGTATTTAATGAACCATATTTATGTACATTTGTTTTTGTTGTTTGTATTTTGCAGGTTGTTCAGTGTGGTATTAGAGACTGCTACTCATAAATCTGGTGAAACAACTTCCCACACGCCGGGGAAACCGGGAGGTCTGGATGTCAAAGCTCTCCGAGCCTTCAGAGTCTTACGACCCCTCAGACTGGTTTCAGGAGTGCCCAGTGAGTTTGTGTTTGTAATACAAAGAAAATGAAGCAATTTAATTTTATGCCTGATTTAATCGGGTTTACATTGCTATGAACTATTTAATGGTATTTTCTCCACACAAGAGTGTTATTGTGCTCCTAAGAAGGTATTCTGAGATGTTTTGTATGGAGTATATGTGCTTGTGTGATGCACCAGTGTTTTGAACAGTTACAATATTTGTGCAGTGATCAGAGAGGCTGGTGTAGCCTGACCTCTCTATAGTCATACTTGGGTCTATAGATTCATTCAGCATCCTCACCAATGAGCTTGACTTATGGTTGCAACCAGCAGCTGTGCTGTTTTGCAGTCATTTCAAAATCAGGCCCGCTGACACACGCTCCTGAATCATTAGCCCCTTTCACAAAGTAATACCAGTAAATTGCCATGAAATTACCTGAACGACTTTACCGGTAAATTAAAAAATGTGCTGTTCACACAGGCAACGACGTTTCGTGGTTTTACCAGTAAAGCACCATTCATACATCGGTTTCAAATTACCGGTAAATTCTGTGACATCATTAACCAGAAATGACCTTTAAACAGTTGCACCTCCTGGTGTTGTGTTTGTAAGCATGGAAGGGTATACGCGCGGTCAGTGTTTTATTGATGTTTTCATTTTTGTGTCAAGCGTTCACATTCATGCAACTGCTTTTGGCCCAGAGACGTCATTAGACGATTTCAAACTGAACTACACAGCGCGGAGTAAATGCGTCATCTGCGTCAGAATGTTATGATTGGCCCAGAGTAGATGTCTTATGTCAGCGTGTTCTGAACTTGTATGTGCTCATACGTACCGCTAATCTACATTCTGCGTTCACGCATAGCATTATTCTGGCAATTTACTGGTAATGTTACAACTTCTCATACCCGTAAATTGCCAGAACGAATTTACCGGTATTTTTAAAAAGGTCCTGTTCACACATGATCTCTTAACGCTAATTTACCAGTAAAGTCTGAATGTGTATGTGTGGTCAAAGGGGCTATTGACCAACTAACCAAAAAGCCATTTATTGCTTGTATCTTTACAATACTAAGGTGATGATTTCAAAGAGCGCTGTCCATGGTGCTGAAAACACAATTCCATTAGCTACTGTACAACAGAGCTCTGGCGAAGCTGGTCAAGATGGCAGAAAACAGGATCATGTTAACCATTGACTTATTCCACCATAGTACATTTAGAAGCTGGTGTGGATCTTTCCTGCCTACTGGCATGTATGATGGTATCTCTCCCTCATGTGCTCACCTGCACGTTAATCCTGGCACTTCTCCCATTAAGCCAAGGTGACATTGAACTAAGACACTTCTTGTTCAAATACCCATTACTTTTGCCAGAAAACACACATTAAAAAATCCTCACTATGTACATCTGTAGTGCTATTATGTTCTGGCTGCCATTGTCTTGATTAAGGTAAATTGATGTTGGTGTCAGTCAATCAATCTATCAACCACTCAGTCAGTCAGTCATTTATATAAAATGTGTGAAAAAATGTTGATACAGATTTTTTTATTTTATTTTGATGGTTATTCATGGTGTGACAAGTCACACATTTTGTCATGTTGAACATTATTTTCAAATAAAATGTTTTTGTTGACTAAAATTAGACTTCCTTTCAAATGTTTGGAGTCAGTAAGATTTTTTTAAAAGAGAAATTACTACTTTTATTCAGCAATGCTGCATTAAATTGCTCAAAAGGGACGACAGCACATTACATTGTTACAAAAATGTATGTGATTGCCATTACAGGAATAATTTGCATTTTAAAATATAATTGTAATAATATTTCACAACATTACTGTATTTGTGATCAAATTCATGCATGTCTGGGTAAACTAAGGGACATAAACATATCTTACTGACCCCAAACTTTCGAACATTTGTGTATATGCCATGTTAGTAATTGAAAAATTGGCCTAAAATAAATAAACAAGTCTTGTCGAAATGCTGACTATTACATTATTTGCAAAAATAATAAAATACTAAACTGATATAATGGACAAAAACAGTCAGAATGGGAATGTTTCTTTTTATGCAAAAATACAGATTTTGGGTTACAGATTGTGCTCTATTATGAGGATTTTTCTGCTCTGTTTGTGTGCAGGCCTGCAGATTGTGTTAAACTCCATCATGAAGGCAATGGTTCCCCTGCTGCACATCTCTCTGCTTGTCCTCTTTGTCATCATCATCTATGCCATCATCGGATTGGAGCTCTTCATTGGACGAATGCATCACACCTGCTATTTTATAGGCACAGGTAACTACACACACTCACATAAAATATTTAAGTGTATTTTCTGTCACTCTCTGTCTTACTCCATCTGTCTGTCTCTTATCTTTCCCAGATAATTATGCAGATGATGATCCAGTCCCGTGTGCGTATGCGGGTCACGGTCGCCAGTGTGCTGCCAATGGCTCCGAGTGCAGGGGAAAGTGGGATGGACCGAACGGTGGCATCACTAACTTTGATAACTTCTTCTTTGCCATGTTAACAGTGTTCCAGTGCATCACAATGGAAGGCTGGACAGACGTCTTGTACTGGGTAACTACGTAAACTGTGTCTTCAGATTGACTGTAATGGTCCATAATTATCTTTTATGGAAGTGATTGTGTATGACACTGATACAGTTGCCTTTGCCTGTGTGTCCTTCTCTGTAGATGAATGATGCAATTGGTTTTGAGCTGCCATGGGTTTACTTTGTAAGCCTGGTCATCTTTGGATCCTTCTTTGTTCTCAACCTTGTGTTGGGTGTGTTGAGCGGGTGAGTTGATAGGATCAATGTGTTTATGGGCAAGTGTGTACGGTTGTCATCACTTTTTGTGGCTGACTTTGTCCCGAACACTTTTTTAAATATTTTATCAGTTCAAGCATTTTCTGGGAATGCCTTCAAAAGTTTGGGATCATTGATATGTTTTTGAAAGAAGTTTTTTATGCTCACCAATGATCAAAAATACAGAAAAACAGTAATATTGTAAAATATTATTACAATTTAAAAGAGTTATTTTTAAAATTTTTATATATTTTAAAAAGTTATTCCTGTTATGGCAAACCTTATTTTTTCAGCAGCCATTACTCAATCTTAAATATTTTTGTTAAATATTTTAAGCTTAATTCAAATTTTAATTTTTTTGTGAAAATGGTGATGAGTGTGAATTTTTTTCAGGATTGTTTGATGAATAGAATGTCCAAAAGTACAGCATTTATTTTAAATCTTTTTTAACATAAATATCTTTCCTGTAACTTTTGCTCAGTTTAATCCATCCTTTCAGAATAAAAGTATTAATGTCTTACTGACTCCAAAGTTTTGAATGGTAGTGTACTTATTTATTAATGCCTATTTATGATCCTAATTTCTAACTGTAATGTTATTGTTTATGTTTCAGTTTTGACTCTGAAAGCATGAATACCATGATAGATACATCACATGTGACAATTTATGTATTAAAACAGTTAGTCCATAACCCAATTAATATTTATGAGCTAAGACTTCTGCATTTCATTACATCATAAACTGTGCATTGTAACTTGTTTGCATATCTGTGATCGTTTAACAGAGGACAGCAGCAGCAGATATCAGATATTTTTACTCACCTTAATGGAACAATCTCCAGATGCTGAGAATAGCAGATTTGCAGAGTTTGATTTCCTGCAGACAACAGAATTCCCCAAAGATTCTGCCTTGTGCTGCTTACCTCTCCGTTAAACAGAGTGTGAAAGTCCACAGTGTGTATTGTGCGTGTGTGCGTTTGTTTTGCTTGTCTAACAGGCAATACTTGTGTGTAGAGAATTCTCTAAGGAGAGAGAGAAGGCGAAAGCTCGCGGAGATTTCCAGAAGCTTCGTGAGAAACAGCAGATGGAGGAGGATCTGTGTGGATATATGGACTGGATCACTCAGGCTGAGGACATTGATGAGTTTGATGAAGACGGGAACAGACGTGAGATCTCTTCCTCTGTTTAACCATCTATACCCCTTTGTCCTTGATATCACTTGTTCATTGTTGATCACCTGTTTCTCCTATACCAGTTTACCATACAGAGACAATTAAGTAAGACAGGGTTTTTGATCCCAAGGACCCCAAATCTGTTGATCCCTTTCTGAGGGCCTCCTAACTAAAATGGAATGACAGCTATATAATTTGATGTATAATGACTCATTCACATCATATGAGTAAAGTAGTAAGCATCATATTATAAAGACTAAGTCCAAAGCAAGTAATTCAAATATTATCTGTAGAATATTTACTTTGCATTATTTTTTAACCACTATTAATGTCAGATGTAGTGTTTCTTAGTGTTTGAAACTATGGTTGTCAATAGAATAAAATAATTGTTATTAATCTTATGATTTCTGACCATTATTTTGAAAGCAAAATGAGGCATATAATATAAAATAAAAATAAATTAAAAGAACCAAAGACTTAAACTACTTCAGTCTGTGTGCATTTAATTTATGTAATACACGAGTTTCACAATTTGAGTTGAATTACTGAAATAAATGAACTTTTCCACGATATTCTAATTTATTGAGATGCACCTGTATTTACTATATAGACTATATACTGTATCTATATACTATAATATATATATATTGTGCACATTTAATTAAAATGTAATGTAAAACATGCACCCTCTTACAAACTGTTTTTGTTAATAGAAATAAAGCTGAAATAATTAAAAATAAGATGTCAATATTAAATGAAAAACTCAAACTTAAAACATTGGCAACTGAATAAAAAAATAATAAAAAGGACTAATAAAAAGGACAAAAAGCATGAAATGAAACCTAAAGTAAAATGAAAATGTAAAATAAAGTGTATTTAAAATAATAATAAATACTATTCTGTTATATAAATAATACCAATATAACTGGACCCCAAAAGATGAATCATTATTTGTACATCTCAGTTTGGAGTGGCAGAAATTACACATTTTACCTTTAACTGCCCTAGTGAAAATAAATATAAAATGTATTTGAAATACATTTATTTAATGCTAAGTATACTACAAAGACATTTACATATTTGTGTACTTAATAAAAATACCCTGCAATTATACTTTTAGTATACTAAACTGGTATACTTAAAGTCTGTTAAATTGGAACAACTAATTTTGTACTTAATGCACTGTAATTGTGTGGAAGTTGTGCTGAGGTCCAGTTAAAAAATATAGTAAACTGAGTACCCAATATACATTAAACATCTCATCTCACTATTGATGTTTGAGGTAAAGATTTCCCCACCCACCACCTGCTTTTCCATCTGTTCCATTTCTCATTTTGTTCTATTCCATGTCTCTCACTCTTTTTCTCTCTCTGGATCTTTCAATCTCCCCTCAGGTGTGACCTTGCGTGACCTAGCTGATAAGAAGAGGGGGAAATTCGGCTGGTTCAGCCACTCAAACGAAACCCACGGTACGGCCAATCAGAACCAGACGCATGACCCCTTCACTCCCCCGCTGTTCTATATATAGCCCCCCTCAACTTTGTCTGGTCTAATTGTGTAATTTACATCTGGAGCTAGAAATCACATCTCTCGGTTGGACCCATATTAAGTGCTTTGACCCTATTGCATAGCGATTGCTTTTCTGTGTCAACTGTGTCAATGTGTGGTCGACATTATTCTTTCTCTTTGTCTCTCATACCTATCCTTTTCTGTGTATCTTTCACTCTCTTCCTGTTTTTTCCCATGCTATAGCAAGTCTTCCAGCCAGTGAAACGGCCTCTGAGAACACTGAAAACATAGATGAGGAACACACTGATTGTTGTGCTGCTTGCTGGTAATAATATACGCACACATACATACCCACTATAATTAGAAACAGCATAACACACAACATTTGTCATTGCGTTGTCCTGCCAGCTTACTAATGGAAGTTGTTATCAGCCATAATGGAGTGTCATCCCTTAATTTCTCAGTTGCAGCTCATTATGTTCTCTTTTCTTTGTATTCGTTGTGCTCTTGCAAGTCAGTTCATTACTCTGGGTTTCTTTGGCTGTCTTTGTTTCAGTATCTGAACTGGATCTTTGTTAAGCGCAATGCATCAAAGTGCACATTTTGCCAATTGCTCTGTGTTGTGCTTGTCTTTGAGCTCATTGTCGTTTTGTTTTGTTTTGTTTTGTTCACTGTCCTTTTACTTCAGCGCTCACATTATGAAGATCCCGTGCTGGTGAGTCATTGTGAGGACAGACTAGTAGTTCAGGGTCCATCTACTGGATATATAAACTTTACTTTAGAAAATACACTGTATTTTTTTTCTTGTTTAAAGCTTAAATCTAGCTAAATTTAGTTTATTCTTAGAAGTTCATGTATAAAACAATGCAAAAAAAAAAATCAAACTTAAAGGATTAGTTTACCTAAAAATTTAAATGAGCTAAAAGGTTACTTACCCTCATGCTATCCAAGATGTAGATACGTTTATTTCTTCATCAGAACAGATTTGGATAAATTTAGCATTTCATCACTTGCTCACCAAGTGAGAATCCTCTGCAGTGAATGGGTGCCGTCAGAATGAGTGTTCATACATTTATATAAGATATGTCCATTGGTGAGCATGTGATGTTACAATAAATTTCTCCAAATCTGTTCTGATGAAGAAACAAACTCATCTACATCTTGGATGGCCTGAAGGTGAGTAAAATTTCAGCAAATTTTCATTTTTGGGTTAACTATTCCTTTAATAAACTTAAAGGGACAGTTCACCCAAAACTGAAAATGTTGTCATCATTTACTTACCTTCAAGTTATTCCAAACCTGTATGAGTTTCTTTTTTTCTGTTAAACTCAAAAGATTAAATTTAGGAGAATATGGTTAATCAAACAGTTGACAGTTGTTTATGGAAAAAACAATACTATGGAAGTCAATGGGGAGCATCAACTCTTTTGTTCTTCAAAATATCTTTTTTGTTCAGCAAAAGAAATAAACTTATACAGGGATGAAACCACTTGAGGGTGAGTAAGTGATGACAGGATTTTCAGTTTTTGGTGTACTCTTGCTTTAAGATATATTCTCTGAAAACTAGTCTTATGTTATGCAGTTTTGTTTTAAAAGTGCATTTCTATTGTTTTAAATATATTTAGATATTTTATTCTGTCAGAAAGGACAAAAATATGGATTATGTAAATAATTTTTTGCAATACATGCCCTATAAAATTGCTTTGATCGCATGGTTCATGACTTTTATATTATATATTACATTACATTATATATATATATTGTAATTTTTCATATGAATGTTTAAAAAAAATCTATACAGTGATTAGTATTTTTTTGTTTGTGTGTGTGTTTGCTTAGTCGTGCCCTGCGCCGCTGGAACCGTTGCATTCGTAGAAACTGTCGTACAGCAGTGAAATCTGTGACGTTCTATTGGTTAGTGCTGATCCTAGTCTTCCTCAACACTGCTCTCAGTGCCTCTGAACATTATAACCAACCAGACTGGCTCACTGACGTTCAGGGTATGTAGGTGTTTACAAACATCACCTTACTGACATGGCATGTGCACTGTCCCACAGCACTGGTCACACATGCACGTTTATTTATAGAACGCTATTAGCTGTTGTTTTAGCGACCCCTAGAGGACGCAGTTCGAAGTTCCATGAAAGGGAACATTGTATTCTGTTATTTATTAAGCAGAAATTTTCCTAATCATATTATTCACGAATAAAGAAAAATTGAAATAATTAAAAATCTGACATTTACAATGTCTTTTTCAAAGAAAGGTGATGCTTTTAAAGTATGAAGTTCTGCTCAAAGGTTAAGAAAGTTAAGAATCCTAAGGAAGTCAGTGCTTTAAATGTAATTTAAAATTTTTTTTTTGCTAAATGTAGGTCTTTTTTTCTCTACAGATCTTAACAGGTGAAGACTGGAATGTAGTAATGTATGATGGTATCATGGCATATGGAGGCCCGGTTTTCCCTGGAATGATCGTTTGTCTTTACTATGTGATTTTGTTCATTTGTGGTAACTGTATCCTTTTCTGTCTGAAACCAATTTTTATTTGCTTATTTATTATGCTTTCATTTTGTTTATCTGATATCATCAACAAAACATCAACAGTTTTATTCATGTATATTTATTAACAAAGCAACACTGCATACTAGGTACAGAATACATTTGATTGAATAATGCATTCCCTGGGAATCGAACCCACAGCCTTTGCGTTGTTAGTGTTGTGCTTTACTGTTTGAGATACATCAATGCAGTTGTGTACTAGTTTTCAACTTAACACTATTTCAGCAACTGGCGTCATTGTTCACTGATTAAAAAGCAAACATATCTTACAATCCCTACTGCAAATCCTGATTTCTGGTTTGTTGATGTTTTTTGTCGTTTGTCATCTTTCTGTTTGTGTTTTTGTTGGGTCTTAACTGCTGCTCTCTAAGATATCCTACTGAACGTCTTCTTGGCCATCGCTGTCGACAACTTAGCAGGAGGGGATGGAGACAATAAGAAGAATGAGTGTGTTTTTAGATAATTTCAGATCATATTACCAAATCTGAACTCATCTGTCTTTCTAAATATGACAGCATACACATTTACTATTCTTAAACATACACAGTGGGGTCCAAAAGTTCACACTGAAAATCTGAGATTCAAAATCCCACTTAAACCTAGAAAAAGAAAAAAGAAAAGGGGTTTAAAAGAAAAAAAATCTATAATAGGCACCTTATGAAGTAATAAGAATTACGATTCTTTCATTAAAGCTAAAGGGAGATAAACCAAACACTAAAACGTCCTGACGTTCATGTTTATTTTTCATTTTAACATTTTACTGAAATTACGCTGATAATGATTTATTTTAGAAAAATGCAAAATAGAAGCATTTTCACCCACTGTTCTGTATATTCAAAAACAAATGAAAATTCTGACATGCGATTCTGTTGATCCTGACAGAGAAACAAAAGAGGGAGAGGGTGACGGTGAAGGTGAAGGTGAAGGAGAGAACGGAGAGGTGAAGGTATGGAAATCAAACTCCTCTGTCTTTGTTGTTGTTGAACAATTATCACATTGAGGTCTTTCTTTCATTCTGTTTTCAACAGGTGGACATTGACGATGAGTACGAGGAAGAGGAGGAGCCTGAAGAGGGAGATGATGAAGGTACAGTGCACAAACATTAAGACAGCATATTGCTTTGGGACAGTTTGTTTATTCTGAAAAGTTTGGTAGTGATTTAGAGACATTTGTGACCATAATTACAGCACACACTCATTGCACTAACAGTCCCTCTTGCTGAGTGTCCTGAGGTTTAGTGTTGGCTAGATAGAGCTAGACTGTGATCGCATTAACAGAGTTTCTCTCTGTCTATCTCTCCCTCTCTCTTTCTTTCTGTTCTTCTCTGCTGGAAGAAGGGAAAGCTCAGCTCAATGTTGCTGACTTCACTCCTTCTAAAGAGAAAGTTCTACCAATCCCAGAGGGCAGTGCGTTCTTCTGCCTCAGCAAGACCAACCCGTGAGTGTGCACTTTAAACCACTCACACACTGTTACAAGACAGTGCTTGACCATTTAAAGAGATAGTTTACCCCCAAAAATTTTATTCTGCCATAATTTACTTGTGTCATGTAAATGCCTCATTCATTCATTCCAAACATGTTTGACTTACTTTCTTTTCTGGAACACAAAGGAAATATTTTGAGAAATTTAGTTTTTGTGCTTTTTTCTTCTTTTGTGTAGAAGAAAATAGGTCATACAGGTTTGGAATGTCTTGAGGGTGAGTGTTGACAATATATTTTTGGGTGAACTATTTGATTAATTATTTGTTACTATGATTCTATTTATGTAAATATTTTCTGTATGTAAAACCTTTTCTACAAGTATTCCACAACTATTCCAAAATACTTTTGGGGAAAAAATAACACTCACTCACTTAAACATGGAAATTGTGTTTTTGTTTCTCACATTTTCATTTCAATGTCTAAACACTAGGAATGTGTCATAACAAAGTTCTGGAGTTACTCATTAATAAAATAAAACAAAACGATTGGCTTCCTAAATAAACTTCTTATGGTACATTTCCTCAGAGGTACCAGTTAGTCTTCCTATCTTCAGTAAACAAGGTAAATCTCTTTAACCTGTTAAGACAAACAGCAAATATTATATCTGACTCAAATCTGTTTTATTTTTGAAGTTTAAACAGCAACAATATGTGAGTCTTCCACTGCTTACAAACACAATCACAAAATCTGGAATTATTCGGAATGTAATTTAGATTTCAAGTAGCTCTTAATTTGGGATGCAACACATTTATAACATAATTAAAAATGCATGACAATGTCTGGAAATGAATCCAATGACTTGTGTGACATTCACTGTGTACTTGTTAGTTGGTGGTTTTGGACACAGCATATTCGTGATTGTGTAGAATGCCTTTATAAAACATGTTTTATGTTTCCTCATGCACCTCATGAGTTGAGCAACGTGGAGAATAAACTAAAACAAAAAAAGTAATTTTACATTTTGCACGATGTTGACAACGCACAGCTAACCACAGTTCTCTTTGGGTCTTCCTCCAGAATAAGAGTGGGCTGCCATACCCTGATCCACCACCACATCTTCACTAATCTCATCCTGGTCTTCATCATTCTCAGCAGCATTTCTCTGGCTGCGGAAGATCCTATAAGAGCTCACTCCTTCAGGAACAATGTAAGTTTCCTGCTCACACATAAGCAGCATCATAAATAGTTATTTACTGCAGCTGTCCTGATTGGCATGTTTGAGGAGCTCTTCAGTGCCAGCTGGGGAACGCCGTCCTTCAATCAGCTGGCTTTCAAACACACGCACGCACACACATAAACATATAGCTTAACATGATTTACTTTTAAGTAAGACATGTTTTTGGATCAGCATCCTTGTTACTACTGGAACAACATGGGATCAACCAATCAGAATTGAGATTTGGGGTCAGAACTGGGGCCAAGGACTTGAACAACATGGTTATCAATCTATTATTTCCCTGAAGGTTTAGGAAGACATTATAGTGAGGGTTCAGACCATGATTGTTTGGTACAAATCTTAAACAACAATGGATGCTCCAGGAACGTGTCCTACTTGTCTAAATCGCATATACACAAACAAATGTGTCACCAAACATCTATCATACCAGTGAAACATAATTTTTCATATCAGGGGAATTGATTTATTTCTCTCTACAGGTGTTGGGTTATGCTGATTATGCTTTCACTTCTATATTCACTGTGGAGATCTTACTGAAGGTACCAATCAATCAATCAGATGCTTTTGTAAAATGTTGCTACACTGAAATGTCCTTACCTTTCTTCAAATTTCCCTTCCTTTTCCTCTGTAGATGACAGTGCATGGTGCATTCCTCCATGAGGGTTCCTTCTGTAGAAACTGGTTTAATTTGTTGGATCTTTTGGTGGTCAGTGTGTCTCTGGTCTCCTTCTTCTTACAGTAAGTCTACTACACTCATATAGATATCAAACTATGCCTGTTCATAATTTCTGCGAGTTATCTGATGTATAGATGTGTACGTGTATGTGTATGCATCGCCCTCTGGTGGATAAATGAAGATGGTTCCCATAAATTAATCGAAATCTTATGCCCAAATACTTTCAACTATTCATTTACATATTTATAGTATTTACCTTGGTGCATAACTGTATGAGAAAAGTGGAATACCTGCGTTCACTGATGATGTGAAAGGGGTCATATATCATGAGGGTTCCTTCTGTAGAAACTGGTTTAATTTGTTGGATCTTTTGGTGGTCAGTGTGTCTCTGGTCTCCTTCTTCTTACAGTAAGTCTACTACACTCATATAGATATCAAAATATGCCTGTTCATAATTTCTGCGAGTTATCTGATGTATAGATGTGTACGTGTATGTGTATGCATCGCCCTCTGGTGGATAAATGAAGATGGTTCCCATAAATGAATCGAAATCTTATGCCCAAATACTTTCAACTATTCATTTACATATTTATAGTATTTACCTTGGTGCATAACTGTATGAGAAAAGTGGAATACCTGCGTTCACTGATGATGTGAAAGGGGTCATATATGACTTGAATGCTTATGAAACCATATAAATCACACTGTTAAGAGACATTGAAGAAGAAATGAAGACCAGTCTATGCTTTTTGAGTCCACACGTACAAAGTCAAACCTCTCTTGCTTTTTTCACTCTCTTAGTTCGAGTGCAATCTCTGTAGTGAAGATCCTAAGGGTGCTCAGAGTTCTGAGGCCTCTTCGAGCAATCAACAGAGCCAAAGGACTCAAGGTACACTTTTAGAGTGTCAGTGCCTGTGCTTTATTTTGCAAACGTTTTAAAGACATGTATATATGCAATTATCTGCAAAAGTTTGGGCTCTGTAAGTTTTTTTTATGCGTTTGAAAGTCCCTTATGTTCACTAAGGCTGCATTTATTTGATCAAAAATACAGTAAAATGTAGTAGTATGAAATACAGTAATATTATAATATTATTACAGTTTAAAATAAGTAATTACTTAGCGGCCAGTGTCATATGATCCTTCAGAAGTCATTGTAAATAGCTGATTTGGTGCTGAAGAAACTTTTGTATTGATTAATATTGTTGTGGAAACCATGATACATTTTTTCAGGATTATTTGATAAATAGAAAATTCAAAAGAACAAAATGTATTTGAAATATAAGTATTTTGTAACATACGTCTTTACTGTCACTTTTGATCAATTTAATGCATACTTGCTTAATTTAAATAAATAAATAAAACAACAATCTTACTGACCCCATACTTTTGAATGGTAGTGTAATTCATATTTGCAGAATTGTTTGAGTGCTTCTCTGTCATTGTTATTGTGGAAACTCTATTACTCTCTCTCTCTCTCTCTCTCTCTGTGTGTGTAGCATGTGGTACAGTGTGTGTTTGTGGCTATAAAGACCATCGGGAACATCATGATCGTCACCACCCTACTTCAGTTCATGTTTGCCTGCATCGGTGTTCAGCTTTTCAAGGTTAAACACACACACACACAAAGTCTGTCTGTATCTTGTGCTCTCACAAGTTTAACATTAGCACATATATACTAATGTGTACTAATGTACTTTTTTGCGTCATTACTGTTGTATTTTGTAGGGTAAATTTTATCGTTGCACAGATGAAGCTAAAAACACTCCAGAACAGTGCAAGTATGTCATATTTCAGCATCTGTCATTCCTGTTTAATTCTGTTCTTACATTAACCACATGTGTGTGCCTTTGGGCAACATGTGTGCTTATGTGTCATGAGTGTTCGTGGTTTATGTGTACATCCGTTTGTGCCTACAAATTGTGTGTGTGTTTGACACAGGGGCACATTTGTTGTGTATAAAGACGGAGATGTGAGTCATCCAATGGTGAAAGAGAGGATCTGGATCAACAGCGACTTCAACTTCGATAATGTACTGATGGGAATGATGGCCCTGTTTACAGTCTCCACTTTTGAGGGTTGGCCAGCGTGAGTCTGCTCCTCTGACATCTTCCTCCATATGTCACTCAAGGTCACCATGACCATGTTTACACAGTATGCTCCACATTCTGTTTTTCCTCATTCAGGCTGCTCTACAAAGCCATTGATGCCAATGCAGAGAATCATGGCCCCATTTACAACTACCGTGTGGAGATCTCTATATTCTTCATCGTCTACATCATCATCATCGCCTTCTTCATGATGAACATCTTTGTGGGTTTTGTCATCATCACTTTTCGTGAACAAGGAGAGGCTGAGTTCAAGAACTGTGAGCTGGACAAAAATCAGGTTGGACAAAAGGCTATTTTAAAGAATATTTTACATGTTTCAGTGTTTTACATTTTACATTTAAGTTCGCAACCAGTTTTACCTCTGTAATGTGACATACTATCGTTCAAAATTGTGGGGTCAGGATGATTTATTGATTTATTTAGCAAGGATGCATGAATTTGATTAAATATGACAATATAATGTTACAAAAGATTTCTATTTCAAATACATACTGTTCTTATGAACTTTCAATTTATCAAAGCATCCAAAAAATGTATCATATTTTCCACAAAAATATCAAGCAGCACAACTGTTTTCAACATTAATAATAATGATAAGTGTTTTTTGAGCATCAAATTAGCATATTATAAATATTTCTGAAGGATCATGTGACTCTGACACTTATATACACAATTGTTTTTTATAAATCGGAAACTGATTGGCTGGTGCAAAGTGGGTGTTTCCGGAATGGAGTCAAAACAAATACATGTTTGAATTGCAGCTTAAGTGTAATCAACAAAAAAAAAACAGCAGGAAGAACAAGTTAGATCTCAGTGTTGCCAAGAATTGGGCTACTTTACCAAGTCAAGTCAAGTCACCTTTATTTATATAGCGCTTTTAACAATACAGATTGTGTCAAAGCAACTGAACAGCATTAATTAGGAAAATAGTGTGTCAATAATGCAAAATGACAATAGTAAACACTCATTTTTCAGTTAAAGACAGTTCATCATTCAATTCAGTGATGTCAACATCCAGCTCAGTTTAAATAATATCTTTGCAATCATGTCAACGATATCGCTGGAAATGAAGTGTCCCCAACTAAGCAAGCCAGAGGCGACAGCGGCAAGGAACCAAAACTCCATCGGTGACAGAATGGAGGAAAAAACCTTGGGAGAAACCAGGCTCATTGGGGGGGGCCAGTTCTCCTCTGACCAGACAAAACCAGCAGTTCAATTCCAGGCTGCAGCAAAGTCACATTGTGCAGAGGACTCGTCTGGTTCCTGTGGTCTTGTTCCGGTGGTCGTCTGAGACAAGGTCTTTACAGGGGATCTGTATCTGGGGCTCATCTAGTTGTCCTGGTCTCCGCTGTCTTTCAGGGCTGTGGAGGTCCTTTCTAGGTGCTGATCCACCATCTGGTCTGAATACGTACTGGATCCGGGTGACAGCAGTGACCATCTGATCTGAAAACCTGGCAACCCTGATCTTGATTGAAGATTACAAAGATACACATTTTGAATAACATGCACAGATAAATCTTTCATAATAAGAACTGAAACGTGTATTAACAATTAATATATAAGATTTCATGTTGACTTTTCATTTTAAATAATGGCCCGCTCAAGTTGAGCTGTTCACTACTGCACTCCAGTATGTATTTTCTCACATTATGTCTCCTTCTTTTTGTTACTTACAGAGACAGTGTGTGGAATACGCCCTAAAGGCCCAGCCGCTGAAGCTGTACATCCCCAAAAACCCAGTGCAGTACAAGTTCTGGTCTATAATCAACTCCACAGGGTTTGAGTACATCATGTTTGTGCTGATTCTCCTCAACACTGTTACTCTGGCTGTGCAGGTAAACACAGCCAGACTGTCTGACAAGCCTTACAAAAGCTGTACAATCAGCATGTAGAACCACAGACAAAGACATTTTAGTCTATTTTTGGTATTGTGAATCTGAGCTTATATTAGCATACTTAAAAATCCAACATGAACCTTGAGGCCAGTGTTAAAGTAGTATTGAGAATAAAATAGTATTGAGTAGCACCATTTTAGAGAGAAGTCAGTTGCACTGATACATTTGAAGAAGGTCTCTATAAATTGACATAAATCTAAACATATATAGGTCTATAAAGTAGAAAGATCAAGACCAAATTATATGAGGCTGATAATGGGTTAAATGCTGAATCATACTCTTTCTGGATTCTTCCATAGCACTATGACCAGTCAAAATTTTTTAGTTACGTGATGGACATCCTCAATATGGTTTTCACCGGCCTTTTCACTGTGGAGATGATCATTAAACTGATGGCTCTCAGACTCAGGGTCAGTCCTTTCACTTGATGTGATATGTGAATGCTTGCTATAAAGTATCCTGTTGATAAAGTTACTGATATGTCTTAAAATCATTTAAACCCTTCTCAAACCATCTTGAACTTTTCAAGTATTTTGTTCTTAATATCTGGTAGTTTTTCCCCGTTCTGCAGCATTACTTTATCGACGCATGGAATTCCTTTGATGCTCTGATTGTGGTGGGAAGTGTGGTGGACATTGTGGTTACAGAGTTCAGCGTGAGTTCCTCTTTTACTTATGCAATCAACAGGATTGAAATAGATACGGTTCTATAAGATAGTCTAAACTAGCACAGATTTCTTGTCAGTGGTAATTTGTTTACATTTTTTTTTGTCACAAATATCACATATCGTCTTATTAGATTCTTATGTTTAATGCAGACGTTAGCTCACAAATATTTAATGTAAAAATCTGAATTGCATGCATTGTATGTGTCCTGTAGGGCACATTATGAAAATTAATTCTCCTTTATTTTCTCCTTAGAGCTCAGAGGACAGCTCTCGTGTATCCATAACTTTCTTCCGTCTGTTTCGTGTAATGCGATTGGTTAAGTTGCTCAGCAAGGGAGAGGGCATTCGTACCCTGCTCTGGACTTTTGTGAAATCACTCCAGGTCAGAAGACGATGATTTCTAAATTTTTCATATTCTGAGCAAATGTTGTGGTCTGTTACTGTTCTTGTTGTCCCTCAGGCCCTGCCGTATGTTGCTCTTCTGATCGCTATGATCTTCTTCATCTATGCTGTAATTGGAATGCAGGTAATTGGAGGCTGGGAAAATGTATATATTATCTTTTGATCATTATTTTTTATATTTTACTCTTTTTTTGCTATATTTTTAGTATATACTATATCTTTTTTTTTTTTTTTTAAGAAACAGTCTGTTTTTTATGAACACAACTGATCAGTTAAAAAAATAATTAATGCTCTATTCATCAGACATTTGGAAAGGTCGCCATGCAGGACCACACACAAATCAACAGGAACAACAATTTTCAGACTTTTCTGCAGGCTGTGCTGCTACTTTTCAGGTGAGAGAGTGTGTTTTCTGTTAATCACAGAACAGTAGAGCATGGTGCCAGCAACATCAAGTTCATGGATTTGATTCCCAGGAAATGCATGAACTGTTAAAAATGTATACCTTGAATGCAATGCAAGTTGTTTTGGATAAAAGTGTCTGCCAAATGCATAAATGTATGTGCTCTTCATGTGCAGGTGTGCAACGGGTGAAGCGTGGCAGGAGATCATGTTGGCCAGTCTTCCAGGAAAGCGCTGTGACCCAGAATCAGACTATGAGCCCGCGGAAGAATTCACATGCGGCAGCAACTTTGCTATTGTCTACTTTATCAGTTTCTTTATGCTCTGCGCCTTCCTGGTATATGTTGTTGTTTATTAAATTAACTCTATTCTTCATAACTTTCCCTTGATAGCTTTAGTCATGCAGTTTCATTTTGACTGCATAATTTCCCAGTTTTTATTAAGAATTAAAAAACCAGAATTTTTTTGTTTTGTTCTTAACTTGTGTATTTTTACATTTTAACATTAAATTTTTTCTTCTGACAAAACTATAAGTAAATATCTGTACAGTGATTATTATGCAGGGCATGCTAGCCTTATTATTATTATGTTGGCTGAAATGTTTTCAGTGTGATTTGCATAGTGAAATGCAACTGTTGTGCTTTTTCAGATTATTAATCTGTTTGTTGCCGTCATTATGGACAATTTTGACTATCTGACCCGTGATTGGTCAATTCTCGGACCACATCACCTGGATGAGTTTAAAAGAATCTGGTCAGAGTACGACCCTGAAGCCAAGTAAGATTATCAGTCTCTCTCTAATGCTTTTTTTTATTTAAACAATTAAAGTCTAATTAAATGTGTGTTTGTTTTCCAGGGGTCGTATAAAGCATTTGGATGTAGTGGCTTTGCTCAGGAGAATCCAGCCGCCACTTGGATTTGGGAAGCTCTGTCCTCATCGTGTGGCCTGCAAGGTACAGACACACAAACTCCATTTGGTCTGTTCTTCTTCCATTTCTTTCTGTCTTATTATATCTCTCTATTTTTTTGTCAGAGGCTGGTTGCCATGAACATGCCCCTGAACAGTGATGGTACGGTGACCTTCAACGCCACCCTGTTCGCCCTGGTCAGAACTGCTCTGAAAATTAAAACTGAGGGTCAGTATGGGCGACCACACAAACACATACACCCTTTGCATACTCATCCGCTTCACCTCTCTATTTAAGCTACAGATGATTCATATGAAAGTGTGCTTTGCATATAAATACTGGAGCCCTTCCTTCATTGTCAAGGTATTTTTTTTTTTTTCAAAATGAAATTTCACTGAAATCAACCACATGCATCCACATACTGCAGGTTACCATGCAGAATAATAATATGCAGTTAAGCTTTTTGAGAATGAATGAGACAATATGTGTGTAAAAGGACATGGTCTTAGGTAGCTGTGTAAGTTCATGTGGCTGCAATGTGTTGTTCTCAGGGAACCCTGATCAAGAGAACGAAGAGTTGAGAATCATCATTAAGAAGATCTGGAAGAGAATAAAACCCAAAATATTGGATGAGGTTATTCCACCCCCTGCTGGTGAGTTCTTTGTGGATCATATTTATGTAGTTCTTTAAATCAGTAAAATTACCACAATGCACCAGGGTTGGGCAAAATTCTAAATGTATAAATTGACTCCCTTTTAATTCACAAGTGTGAATTTTAACAGAATTGTGAATTTTAATCAGAATAACAGGAAGATTAATTTACTGAATTGCAAAATGATCACATATCACCAAATTACACAATAATAGATAGTTTAGGTAATCTTTATAAGGTATCTGTCTTGTAAATCTTCCTTTTGAAGACTTTGCAGTAAATGATTCTGGCAATTTGTCAGGGAATGAAATGTTCTTCCATCATTGTCTATAAAATGAAAGTTAATTTATTGTATATAATTACCTATATATGAAATGTATGTTTTTGTATGTTTTTTTGGCATTTCATACAGTGAATATGAATATCCAACGTTTCTGGAAATGGCATATATGTTGAGCATGTGAAAACATTTTAATGAGTAACGTAATTTACACTGACGAAGGAAATAGAATTTTAATTGAATTATACTTTAATATTTTTGTATTTAGTTTTCTGCCTCACGTCATATTTAACTGGCATTTAAAAGACATCCTCAATTTAGTTCTGAATGCTGCACAGCCCAAACAAGCACAGTTACACAAATCAGAAACATTTTTCAACTTTTTGTGCTGTTTTATTTGCAACATTCTATGTTGGTTCTTTTACAGAGGAAGAAGTGACTGTGGGTAAATTCTATGCCACATTCTTGATCCAGGACTATTTTAGGAAGTTCCGGAAAAGGAAAGAGAAAGTGGGTCTGGAAGATTCAGAGAATGGTAACCCTTCCGCTCTACAGGTAGATCTCTGTCCTAGATTCTGCATTTTATTTCTGTTCTGTCATTTCCGATACATCTGAACACAATAATAGCATTGCATTTGCTAAATCACAAATTTTATGTAAAATGTCCCGCATTTGCACTAAATTAAATCACAAAAACAGATGACTTGACAATCATCTAATGGATTTGTACAAATCCCACATTGACAGATGATCCACTGAAGCAGACTAAACTAACAAAAGTCTTCACCAAAGAGCTGTGATGCTTCATTCCGAGTATCATCTTAGACAGTCTCTTTTTATCATTCTCTATGGGTGTGCTGTCATTGGTAATTTGAGGTTACATGTGTGGGTTTGTGTCCATGCTGCATGCATTTCATAATTTTTTACAGTTTTTTTTTTTTTTTACAAACTGTCAGAAAGTTGCACAATATAAATTTCATCCTAAACAAAGGAGCTATTTCTCATGACACAGGTGGGACTTGAGCCCACAAACCTCAGCTCCAGAGGCTGATACCTTATCCATTAGTCTACTAGGCCGTATTTTAGTCTTAGCCATGTGTCAGGGTCCTGTCCTGACAGTTAAGTCTGTTCTGTCGTTGTTTAACGTATTTGTCTTGTGTCTGAGCACATGGCTCGGTCTTTTAGTGATGTGTCGTTCGCAAACGAGCCGGCTTTAAGAGTCGATTCTTTGTAGCGAACGAGAAGAGCGACTCCCATCGGGGAGAGCCGAATCTTCAGCCGGAGTCTTGTATTTAAGGCCAATTTAGCAATTGGGAATTGTTTGTGTGTTGGTAAGCAATTTTTTATTTAGTCTTTTCATAAAAGCCTTATTTTTTTCATTACAAAAAATAAAAATACACATGTGGCTAATCACATGGGAGGACAGACTAGGATCATGCCATTATGTGAAAGAAGGAATGAAGACACACGCTCTGAAGATAGCGAGTATAGTGGTACAGGCTGGGTACACAGAGTGACAGAGAGAAACGGGGGAGCCGGATTTAAACGCAAGTGCGTTGGTTAAGGTCGGAAGATACTGCATTGTTGCAACATCGGTCCCCTCAAAGAGAGTCTTCTCAAAAACAGGACAAATAATCACAGAGAGGAGAAATCGCATCAGCACACCCAAGCTGAGGCATCTGATATTTCTGAATGCCAACCTGCACTAAAGACTAAAGTGTCTAAATTGTTAAGACTTTTGCCTTTATTTATTTGTTTGCTGTGATTCTGTGTTCAATTGTTCAATTAAAGTTTTATTAAAATGTTAAATAATAGTATATGTGTATTTTTTTGTAACGAAAACAATATGCATAAAAATAAGGCTTTTATGAAAACACTGAATAAAAAATTGCTTGCCAACACACAAACCATTCACAATTGCTAAATTGGGCTAAAATAGAAGGCTCAGAGTGATACTAAATAAAGAGCCATTTGGGAGTCGTAAGAGCCGGCTCTTCTAAGGGAGCCGAGCCAAAAGAGCCGAACTTCCCATCACTACTGTCTTTGTCTATGTTGGCCATGTGCTCCTCTTGTCCTGCCCCCTTGTTTAGCCCTTGTCTTGCCCTCATTTACTTGATTGCGTCCACCTGTTCCTCATGTGCTGTCCTCCCTATTTATATGCCTTGTCCAAATACCCACACTTGCGGTCTTGGCCACTTGAGAGTGCGTGCGCACGACAGGAAGTGCGCAAGACTGTCCCAGGCCTTAAAAATGGCAAAGCGCAGTGCCATTAATGCACACTAAATCCACACTGTCTCGAATACTGCTCCGGAGTGCTATTTGAGGCTTAGTGTATCCCATCATGCATCATGTTCTGGAAATAAATTGTGAAACTTTTTGCCAAGATCTCGTGAGAGGTCACGGAAACCTTTACAATGTAAGTTAAATATTAATATAATAATTAGATATTACATATAATTTGGTAGAAAATGTATTCAGTTCTTCTAGCCTGATCTTTTGTTCTGCATTTTTGTTTGATATTAAGTTAGTTGTGTTGGTTGAATTGGTAATTATTTCTTTACTTTTTATCAGTTCTTTTGTTTTATTTAAACAATTATTAAACCATTCACTCTGCGATTGGGTCCTCCTTCCAGATTCCTGACAGCCATGTAGTCTCAGGTGGGATTCAAACCCACAATCCCCAGCTCCAAAAGCTGACACCTTATCCATTAGGCCAGTGGGCCGCTAAGTTATTTACATGTATTTTCCTCTGTGTTTTTGGTGATTTGTTGAGCTGCATATATACTGTGGTGCCTGTCTCTTTCCGCGTGCATCTGTGTCAGGCGGGGCTGCGAACTCTGCAGGATCTTGGGCCAGAAATGAGACTGGCCATGAACGAAGATCTGGAGGAGGAAGAGGAGGGTCTGGAGGAGGAGCAAGAGGAGGATGATGCTCGTTATAAGGTGCTTGGACCATCAATATTATTTTGGAGCACAATTTAATTACTCTATTTTTCAATCAATTAACTGAATCACACTGAATTAAATTTGCTGAATAGAAAATAGTCCATGAGACAGAAGGATTAGATGATTATTCAGAGTAATGAGGCACTTGGTCTATTGAGACGAATAGTAATTTGAGTAACAGGCAGGAGCAGATATCAGGTAATGAATGGAAGTTAAGGCTGAGGGTTTTGTGGTGTAGGTGTAGATGTTGTGGTTTGGTTGGTGAAATGCTCATGAAATGAGCATACTCTGCAGGATCTTGGGCCAGAAATGAGACTGGCCATGAACGAAGATCTGGAGGAGGAAGAGGAGGGTCTGGAGGAGGAGCAAGAGGAGGATGATGCTCGTTATAAGGTGCTTGGACCATCAATATTATTTTGGAGCACAATTTAATTACTCTATTTTTCAATCAATTAACTGAATCACACTGAATTTATCTTATAAATTTGCTGAATAGAAAATAGTCCATGAGACAGAAGGATTAGATGATTATTCAGAGTAATGAGGCACTTGGTCTATTGAGACGAATAGTAATTTGAGTAACAGGCAGGAGCAGATATCAGGTAATGAATGGAAGTTAAGGCTGAGGGTTTTGTGGTGTAGGTGTAGATGTTGTGGTTTGGTTGGTGAAATGCTCATGAAATGAGCATAAACTATTGCATTCCCTTCCCTAAGCATTCATCATATATCTAGGTGCATAATTTGTTTACACGTCAGTCATAGATTGCTAATAGGTGCTTTCCTTACTTAAAGTGCACCACCTGTAATGTAAGTTGAGTAATTATTAGTCATTTTTGCAGCACACTTTTAAAGTGTTGTGAGTACTTGCATTGTTAGCAACGTGACCAAAAGACTCACAACCCAGGTGATACTTGAACCCACATTACCGGAGGCCAGTGCCTTATCCATTAGGCCACTGCGCTTTGGCTTGCTTTTGTTTTTGTATAGGTTCAGCCACAAGCAAATTCTTACATAGTCTTCAGTGTCACATGATCCATCAGAAATCATTCTAATATGCTGATTTTGTGCCCAAGAAACATTTCTTATTATTGCAAACAGAATGCAAATAGAATGTTTACAAGAACAGCATTTATTTGAAATATAAATCTTTTGTAACATTATAAATGTCTTTTGCTGTCACTTCTGACTAATTTAATGTTATGTTTTCCAAATATAATTGTAAATATAATTTATAAATATCGCAAGTGCGTTGGTTAAGGTCGGAAGATACTGCATTGTTGCAACATCGGTCCCCTCAAAGAGAGTCTTCTCAAAAACAGGACAAATAATCACAGAGAGGAGAAATCGCATCAGCACACCCAAGCTGAGGCATCTGATATTTCTGAATGCCAACCTGCACTAAAGACTAAAGTGTCTAAATTGTTAAGACTTTTGCCTTTATTTATTTGTTTGCTGTGATTCTGTGTTCAATTGTTCAATTAAAGTTTTATTAAAATGTTAAATAATAGTATATGTGTATTTTTTTGTAACGAAAACAATATGCATAAAAATAAGGCTTTTATGAAAACACTGAATAAAAAATTGCTTGCCAACACACAAACCATTCACAATTGCTAAATTGGGCTAAAATAGAAGGCTCAGAGTGATACTAAATAAAGAGCCATTTGGGAGTCGTAAGAGCCGGCTCTTCTAAGGGAGCCGAGCCAAAAGAGCCGAACTTCCCATCACTACTGTCTTTGTCTATGTTGGCCATGTGCTCCTCTTGTCCTGCCCCCTTGTTTAGCCCTTGTCTTGCCCTCATTTACTTGATTGCGTCCACCTGTTCCTCATGTGCTGTCCTCCCTATTTATATGCCTTGTCCAAATACCCACACTTGCGGTCTTGGCCACTTGAGAGTGCGTGCGCACGACAGGAAGTGCGCAAGACTGTCCCAGGCCTTAAAAATGGCAAAGCGCAGTGCCATTAATGCACACTAAATCCACACTGTCTCGAATACTGCTCCGGAGTGCTATTTGAGGCTTAGTGTATCCCATCATGCATCATGTTCTGGAAATAAATTGTGAAACTTTTTGCCAAGATCTCGTGAGAGGTCACGGAAACCTTTACAATGTAAGTTAAATATTAATATAATAATTAGATATTACATATAATTTGGTAGAAAATGTATTCAGTTCTTCTAGCCTGATCTTTTGTTCTGCATTTTTGTTTGATATTAAGTTAGTTGTGTTGGTTGAATTGGTAATTATTTCTTTACTTTTTATCAGTTCTTTTGTTTTATTTAAACAATTATTAAACCATTCACTCTGCGATTGGGTCCTCCTTCCAGATTCCTGACAGCCATGTAGTCTCAGGTGGGATTCAAACCCACAATCCCCAGCTCCAAAAGCTGACACCTTATCCATTAGGCCAGTGGGCCGCTAAGTTATTTACATGTATTTTCCTCTGTGTTTTTGGTGATTTGTTGAGCTGCATATATACTGTGGTGCCTGTCTCTTTCCGCGTGCATCTGTGTCAGGCGGGGCTGCGAACTCTGCAGGATCTTGGGCCAGAAATGAGACTGGCCATGAACGAAGATCTGGAGGAGGAAGAGGAGGGTCTGGAGGAGGAGCAAGAGGAGGATGATGCTCGTTATAAGGTGCTTGGACCATCAATATTATTTTGGAGCATTACTCTATTACTCTATTTTTCAATCAATTAACTGAATCACACTGAATTAAATTTGCTGAATAGAAAATAGTCCATGAGATTAGATGATTAGATGATTATTCAGAGTAATGAGGCACTTGGTCTATTGAGACGAATAGTAATTTGAGTAACAGGCAGGAGCAGATATCAGGTAATGAATGGAAGTTAAGGCTGAGGGTTTTGTGGTGTAGGTGTAGATGTTGTGGTTTGGTTGGTGAAATGCTCATGAAATGAGCATAAACTATTGCATTCCCTTCCCTAAGCATTCATCATATATCTAGGTGCATAATTTGTTTACACGTCAGTCATAGATTGCTAATAGGTGCTTTCCTTACTTAAAGTGCACCACCTGTAATGTAAGTTGAGTAATTATTAGTCATTTTTGCAGCACACTTTTAAAGTGTTGTGAGTACTTGCATTGTTAGCAACGTGACCAAAAGACTCACAACCCAGGTGATACTTGAACCCACATTACCGGAGGCCAGTGCCTTATCCATTAGGCCACTGCGCTTTGGCTTGCTTTTGTTTTTGTATAGGTTCAGCCACAAGCAAATTCTTACATAGTCTTCAGTGTCACATGATCCATCAGAAATCATTCTAATATGCTGATTTTGTGCCCAAGAAACATTTCTTATTATTGCAAACAGAATGCAAATAGAATGTTTACAAGAACAGCATTTATTTGAAATATAAATCTTTTGTAACATTATAAATGTCTTTTGCTGTCACTTCTGACTAATTTAATGTTATGTTTTCCAAATATAATTGTAAATATAATTTATAAATATATATAAATTAAAAAAATAGCTATGATTTGGAGTGTTTTGTTGTTGCATTACATATATTTTAAAACAATATTCAGTTTTTTTTTTTTCTCTCTCTCTCTCTCTGTCATATTGCTGGCCTCTTAGAACGAAAATGGCTATGCAGGCCACACTGAGCCCTCAAGCAAAAGCCGGCGCTCCTCTTTGGCCACTACACCCAGCGGTGCTCCTGTTCCTGTCTCAGGAGAAGGCATCTTGAACGGGGGACTGGGATGTAGGAGCTCCTTATCAAAAACACAGAACGGGAACGGTGCTTTGGAACACGAGAATTTCAGAAGAAGAGACAGCATGCGTTCCTCCTTTCATTACCAACACAAGAATGGTGTGATTGACCAGCTGCCTAGGAGGTAAATCTAGTTGTTTCCACTGCATTTATTTATATTATACCTCATATTAATTATGTAATTTATTGGTCACTTATTTTACATACTGTTTTTGTTTGTTTGATAGATCATCATACTACAAATACCCAAGGTAAGCATTCAGCATTGTCTGCAGCACCACCCTTACCCTTCTCTGTTCCTGTCTGCTGTTCTCCCAGTCTCCTGCTGACTGCAGGTTTCCTCTTTTCTCCCTCAGGGGGGACTCCAGGGACAGATTCTCCTCTCCGCTATCTCGGCGAGAGGAAGGCGGTGAGTACCCTGGAGAGCAGCGCTTCTATGGAAAAGATGAGGACAGCGAGAGTGTCATCTCTAGAGAAAGGTACTCATAAAGTTTTGCCTGTGCCTGAATGAATGAATTCATATTTGGAAGCTGATTAACTTTATGGATTATAATACATCAAATATTTTTCATCCTCAGGCATGGTCATCCAGAGGACAGCACAATGTTCCCGGGACATAGAGACATGTATGATGGACACTCTATGAGACACCCTGTCTACGGTAATCATTATGGAAACAGTTATGGTGAAGGCAGGAGGACAGCACGGAGACGCCTGCTGCCTGCAACGCCTACTGGTAAAATCATCAATTGTGATATATTTATTTAGTAATTATTAGTTAGAATATTGTGTGTATGTAATAAAGGGTTGTACTTAACCTGTATAAGTTCATCTGTACATTTCACTGCTTTGCATTATTTTTTTGTCCGTTTTTCAGGGAGAAAGGCTTCGTTTAACATACAGTGTTTAAGAAGGCAAGGTAGCAGTGATGATCTGCCCATCCCAGGAACGTACCATCAGAACTCCCCACCCTGCAGAGCGCGTTTACAGGTAATGATAACAATATATCATTTTTTGTCCATGACACACTATCAGATGTGTTGGTTACACTTTATTTTAAGGTGTGCTTGTTACAGTGTAATTATATATTTAAGTACCGAGTAATATTAATGAACTACATGTACTTACAATATGGTTAGGATTAGGGATACTTGCGTGTAATTAATTGTTATTATAATAGCAAGTACACGTAATATGTGTAACAAGGACACCTTAAAATAAAGTGTTACCAATGTGTTCTTTTTTTTACATCTTCTCCAATGTTACAGTTACATAATTTTCATAATGCACATACTAGAGTATTTAGGTACACACAGATTCTATTTATTATATTGTATACAGTATATGTTTTATTCACTGAATGAGGTGGCATGGATTATAAATTAAAACATTTATTAAAAAATTGGTTGCACTTTATTTTACAGAAAGATCATATTAAAACTTTTTTCTGCATTTCGAATGCATTTGATTTGATAGTTTTACCCTTTTCCCAGACCCAGACTTTCAATTGAAATATTAAATAAGAATTATTTGAACAACTATGAAAACAAACAAATTGCTAAATAAATGTATATATCTCATTTTTATATATTACATATTATGTCTCGCATATCAGTCTCAAGTATGTGCTTCGCTAGCACTGCTCAGTAAATACATTTTTTATAAAGTTTATTAGGGGCTAAATTGTTGTGATAATATGTGACCATATGTGAAATATGTTTGTGTGAAAATATTTGATTTTTATATATTTAGGATGCATAAAATGTTAATTGTGAAATTAGTCTTAGCATAGCAAGCTTAAACAAGCTTGAAAAGGATTTTATTTTCCAAAAGGCCTCAACTTGCAACTTGCCTGAAGTTGAAGAAACACCTTATCTTCACACAGTTCACAGTTCCTGATTGTCAACTGCTTTTTATAACTTAAGTGACTCCCTTCACAACATTATGAAAGTGAGTTTGAACAGAACCTATCTGACTCAGTCTGTTTCTTTCTCTCCCTCTTAGGGATGCGGCAGCTACGATTCTCGTTGCAGCAGCGCTAGATCATCCACGGGTTCAACAGCATCCTGGGCAAACACCGGCCCTCGACGGGGTCGTCTCCTTTACGCTCCCCTTATCCTGGTAGAGGAGGAGGGAGCAGGAGGGGCTGGAAGTGTAGGCATCTGGGACAAAAAGGCCGGTGCCATCGGAGTGCCTGCGTCGGTTCGGCATCCCAGTTCGGGATGGTACTCGGGACCCTCTACGGGTGGAGGGGGGCAGCCATATCGAGCCTACACCACCCTCAGAGTCCCCACCCAACTCAGTCCTCACTACAGCGAGAAGAGAGGCAGCGCTGACAGTCTGGTAGAAGCGGTAGGAGCAGAGAAACACTAGAACATGAGAGCAACATTGCAATAACATTATGGACACATTACAGCTTGACTACATCAATATTGTAGTAACATTATACATGTTACAACATTAACGCAACATCAAAGGAACATTACAGAAACAGTAGCTTCACAACATCTAATCAAACACAGGAGCTCTTCCTTAAATTTGCTGAATAGAAAATAGTCCATGAGACAGAAGGATTAGATGATTATTCAGAGTAATGAGGCACTTGGTCTATTGAGACGAATAGTAATTTGAGTAACAGGCAGGAGCAGATATCAGGTAATGAATGGAAGTTAAGGCTGAGGGTTTTGTGGTGTAGGTGTAGATGTTGTGGTTTGGTTGGTGAAATGCTCATGAAATGAGCATAAACTATTGCATTCCCTTCCCTAAGCATTCATCATATATCTAGGTGCATAATTTGTTTACACGTCAGTCATAGATTGCTAATAGGTGCTTTCCTTACTTAAAGTGCACCACCTGTAATGTAAGTTGAGTAATTATTAGTCATTTTTGCAGCACACTTTTAAAGTGTTGTGAGTACTTGCATTGTTAGCAACGTGACCAAAAGACTCACAACCCAGGTGATACTTGAACCCACATTACCGGAGGCCAGTGCCTTATCCATTAGGCCACTGCGCTTTGGCTTGCTTTTGTTTTTGTATAGGTTCAGCCACAAGCAAATTCTTACATAGTCTTCAGTGTCACATGATCCATCAGAAATCATTCTAATATGCTGATTTTGTGCCCAAGAAACATTTCTTATTATTGCAAACAGAATGCAAATAGAATGTTTACAAGAACAGCATTTATTTGAAATATAAATCTTTTGTAACATTATAAATGTCTTTTGCTGTCACTTCTGACTAATTTAATGTTATGTTTTCCAAATATAATTGTAAATATAATTTATAAATATATATAAATTAAAAAAATAGCTATGATTTGGAGTGTTTTGTTGTTGCATTACATATATTTTAAAACAATATTCAGTTTTTTTTTTTTCTCTCTCTCTCTCTCTGTCATATTGCTGGCTTCTTAGAACGAAAATGGCTATGCAGGCCACACTGAGCCCTCAAGCAAAAGCCGGCGCTCCTCTTTGGCCACTACACCCAGCGGTGCTCCTGTTCCTGTCTCAGGAGAAGGCATCTTGAACGGGGGACTGGGATGTAGGAGCTCCTTATCAAAAACACAGAACGGGAACGGTGCTTTGGAACACGAGAATTTCAGAAGAAGAGACAGCATGCGTTCCTCCTTTCATTACCAACACAAGAATGGTGTGATTGACCAGCTGCCTAGGAGGTAAATCTAGTTGTTTCCACTGCATTTATTTATATTATACCTCATATTAATTATGTAATTTATTGGTCACTTATTTTACATACTGTTTTTGTTTGTTTGATAGATCATCATACTACAAATACCCAAGGTAAGCATTCAGCATTGTCTGCAGCACCACCCTTACCCTTCTCTGTTCCTGTCTGCTGTTCTCCCAGTCTCCTGCTGACTGCAGGTTTCCTCTTTTCTCCCTCAGGGGGGACTCCAGGGACAGATTCTCCTCTCCGCTATCTCGGCGAGAGGAAGGCGGTGAGTACCCTGGAGAGCAGCGCTTCTATGGAAAAGATGAGGACAGTGATAGTGTCATCTCTAGAGAAAGGTACTCATAAAGTTTTGCCTGTGCCTGAATGAATGAATTCATATTTGGAAGCTGATTAACTTTATGGATTATAATACATCAAATATTTTTCGTCCTCAGGCATGGTCATCCAGAGGACAGCACAATGTTCCCGGGACATAGAGACATGTATGATGGACACTCTATGAGACACCCAGTCTACGGTAATCATTATGGAAACAGTTATGGTGAAGGCAGGAGGACAGCACGGAGACGCCTGCTGCCTGCAACGCCTACTGGTAAAATCATCAATTGTGATATATTTATTTAGTTATTATTAGTTAGAATATTGTGTGTATGTAATAAAGGGTTGTACTTAACCTGTATAAGTTCATCTGTACATTTCACTGCTTTGCATTATTTTTTTGTCCGTTTTTCAGGGAGAAAGGCTTCGTTTAACATACAGTGTTTAAGAAGGCAAGGTAGCAGCAATGTATCTAGTAAAATAATGGTATGTAATATATTTAATAAAATCATTAAAAAATATATAATGTAATACAATAATATTCACATTTTTAAAATGTAATCTGTTCCTGTGATGGCAAAGCCGAATTTTCAATAGCCATTACTCCGGTCTTCAGTGTCACATGATCCTTCAGAAATCATTCTAATATGCTAAAACAATGCTCAAGAAACATTTCTTATTATTATCAATAGTGAAAACAGTTGGTGATACATTTTTAGGATTCTATGATTGATAGAATATAAAAAAACAGCATTTTTCAGAAATATAAATATTTTGTAACATTATAAATGTCTTTACTGTCACTTTTGATCAGTTTAATTCATATTTGCTTAGTAAATATATTAATTTCTTTTAAAGGGGTCCTTTTGTGGTTTTTGACTTTTTCAACTTTAGTTAGTCTGTAATGTTGCTGTTTGAGCATAAAAAAGATCTGCAAAGTTACAAAGCTCAAAGTCCCATTCAAAAGGAGATATTTTATTTAACAGAAATCACTTTTCAAAAACCACAACGAACGACACGTTTGGACTACAACGCATATTTTCCGGGATTTGTGATATCACAAATATCGACGAATGGGACGAGACCTGGTTGAGCTGCACTAGAGAAGGCAACGAGTGTTATCACTATGTCGGAGACACGCTAGCTTTCCCAAG